ATGTCATGTTAGGGCTTGAGCTGATGCACTATTTGAAAATCAAAACTAGAGGCAAGAAAGGGTATATGGCTCTAGAGGTTAACATGAAAAAAGTCTATGATAGAGTCGAATGGTCGTTTCTCCTTGCGGTTTTGGACAAATTGGGCTTTAATTCGGTTTGGAGAGTTGAATTCATGAATGCCTCCGCTCCACGTTGTTTTCGGTCCTTATGAATGGCTCGCCCTCTGGATATTTCACTTCCTCAAGAGGTATTCAACAGGGAGCCCCGCTGTCCCCTCTCCTGTTTGTTCTATGCACGGAAGGGTTCGCAATGCTCATGCGTAAGGCTATTTCTGAGGGTAAATTCGAAGGGTTAAAGTCTCCCCCAGAGCTCCAAAAATTTCGCACCAGTTTTTATACGATTCCTACTTGTTTCTCCGGGGCTCGGTTCAAGAATGTGAGAACCTTCTTGAGGTATTAAATGAGTATGAGGAGCTGAGTGGCCAATGGGTTAACCTGGCTAAATCGGCGGTGTGCTTTAGTAAGAATATATCTCTGCCGGATCAGGAGTTTCTTGCTCAGATCTTGGGAGTTGGGGTTGTGGGAATCCATGATATATATCTTGGACGACCCACATTGATATCCCAATCTAAAATGGCAACCTTTGATTCATGTAGAAAAAGCTGCTAAAGCGGCTCCAGGGGTGGAAACAAAGGACGATGTCATGGGCAGCAAAGGAAGCGTTGATTAAATCTGTGGCTTTAGCTCTGCCTTTGCATGTTATTGCCTGCTTCAAGCTACCCCTAGCCCTGTGTCGGCTCATGGATATCATGTGGCCAGATTTTGGTGGGGAGTTGAGGAGGGTCATCCCCTGGTACGCTGGGTATCCTGGCGGAATATGTGCATGAGTAAACACAATGGGGGAATGGGATTTCGCCGGTTTGAGCATTTTAATCAGGCGCTCTTGGCCAAGATTGGATGGCGTATCCTAAATGAACCTCAATCGCTTCTAGCCCAGGTATATAAGGGAAAATACTTCTCCATAGGGTCTTTCCTCTCTGCTACCGCACGGTCCCGTCCATCTTGGGGATGGCAGAGTATCCTTTATGGTAGGAAGATACTGGTGAAAGGCCTGCGATGGTATATTGGTAATGGACGGACAACGCCTCTGCTAGACTCTAGTTGGATCCCTCGGTTACACCCTGATATCCCAGTATATAATCCTCAGGTGTTACCAACAGGTGATGAGCTGACGGTGAGGGAGGTGCTTTGTCCGGGTGAAGTACGTTGGTGTAATGTCAAACTTGGCCAATGGTTTGAACCGACTACTTGTCGTGCCATCAAAACCATCCTTCTTCCTTGCCAGGATGTGGCGGATAGATTGATATGGCATGACCCGGGAGACAGGATCTTCACTGTCAAATCTGCATACCATCTTGCAGTCTTGGTAGATAAGCATATCGGGCGTTGGCGATCTATGGCTAGTTGGATGGACAGAGCAAGCTGGATCCGCTTGTGGGACGTCCATATTCCTCCTAAATTGAAGGTGTTCCTCTCAAAAATCTTCCATCGTATCCTGCCCACGACGGAAGCCTAATCGAGAAGAAGGTCGAGGTCCTTCCCCACTGCCCGGTTTGCTGGGCTGAGTCGGAAACCATGGAACATTTGTTTTCGGAATGTCCAGTAGTGCGGGCTCTTTGGGCCTCAATTATCTTGGCCACGGACTACCTCGACACACTTTTCCGCTTTTCTTGAAGAAGTTTATGGTCCTTATCCATCAACTGCATTTATTCATGGTGGTTGTTGTGGTCCTTTGAAGAATATGGCGATCACATAATTGGTTTGTCTTTGAGAGCAAACAATTTGGGATCCCAGCTTTAATGCGGAAATTTCACCAACAATATCATGAATGGATTAGTTTGCCTACTAATCATGCTCCACGATACCCTATCCCTCAACAGAATTTCATTGGTGTGGGTCACCCAAATTCGGTTAGCTGCATGTGGGATGGTGCAACTAGGAATGGATCTCACTCTATTGGGGGCATGATTATCAAGGACCAGCATGGAAGGATCTTGTTGGCCAAAGTTGTGCAGTTTAAGGACATAGATGGTCCTATGACCCTCAAGCTACTAGTACTCCGGGAAGTTGTGTTATCGTGCATGGAAAATGGGTTTACGGATGCAGGACTGGAAGGTGATGCCAAAGTCATCATTGACAAGATCAATCGGGCAGACACTACGGATAACCGGGTGGGGGATATACTTGAAGAGGTCGTGTGGTGCTTGGCTAATCACGTGGGGCTTACTGTGGGATTTGTAGGTCGGAGTATCAATAGGGTATCCCATCTTGTGGTTAGAAAGGACCTCTCTTTGTACCCGACTACAGGTCGTTTCTTTGACTTTCTAACCTGACTAAACTCTAAGATGTACTGGTCTTTATTCGATTCAATATATATGAATATCTTTTGTAAAAAAAAGAGAGAGACAAGATATGTAAAGTCTATATAAAATTGACGAGAGCTGCATAATGTAGGGCTTGTCGTATCGTGGCTTGTTTGCTTGATGGATTTGGTGATGGATTTGGATTCAACATGGACTTTGTCCAAAATCCATTGTTTGCTTCATGCATTTAGGGGCAACAAATCCGTAGGTCCCACGAACTTTAAGGGTCCAAATCCGTGGACCCCACGGACTTGAAAGTTTCACCTATTTAGGAGGGAATTGATCATGGACTTTGAAGTTCATCATTTAGGATCAAACTACCCTCTTATTCCATTTCTCTTCTCATACCAATGAGGGCAATAAAGATAAATTTCACTTCATACATACAAATCTAATTAAGCAATTCCATCATGAAATCTATGAAACAAACAATGGTATTCTTCAAGTCCATGATAAACCCAAAACCCTCATATATCCATGGTATTACAAAACTCAAGTTTTACCAAAATCTTCATTTTTCAAATCCACGAAGCAAACGACTTAGCGGTGGACAATTCGAATAGTACTTCAAGAAGTAAAGAAAAAAGTGAATGAGATGAAAGTTTCACAAACAAAGCATGCGGCCCCACCATGGGCATCATAAGTCGAGTATGTGAGATAGTAGGGGCAGACCAAGAATTCTTCGAAATGTGTGCCAGTCGATAGAAATAAATTAAAAAATTAAAGGGTAAATACAATTTAATATCCAAACCTTTCATTTTAAACAATATAATAGCCAAATCTTTTCGAAAACAATCTAATATCCAAATCGTCAACTTTCCGTTCGTTTGACCGTTAGTTGACACTTCAAAAAAGTTCGAAGTACGACGCTTCATCAATATCCATCGATATCTTCTCTGAAAAACCACCAACATATCGTGGTTCCAAACCCGAGATGTCCATGACTCCACCATGATGGTATAGAATATCTAAATATTCAGTTATCTGCAATGCCAAAACAAGAAAACAAAGTTGTATTGTGACAATTTCCCCTAAATAAAGCTTTTTGGAAGTGTCAACCAACGGTCAAACGGACGGAAAGTTGAAGATTTGGATATTAGATTGTTTTCAAAAAGGTTTGGCTATTATATTGTTTAAAATGAAAGGTTTGGATATTAAATTGTATTTACCCTAAATTAAAATATTAAATAAATCAAATAAAATAAAATAGACATTTAATTCATAAATTTCACAATTTGATTTTTGTATAGAGAACCACGACTACTTTTAACATTCTTAAAGGTTGCAAAATGCACTTGTCCTTTTTGTTGTGAATCAAACATTTTCTATATATACAACTGAACAACCATTCATAAATTGGTCACTCAACCAATTCCAAAGTTCGTTCTTGATTAACTACATAACTAAAAAAGGCTCTTTTTTTTGCCAAAGTTATCCGGAGAGGGAAGCAGCAAAGATACGACAAAATACAAGGCCTCCTAAGACCAGGCTAGGAAAATTAAAAAAATAAAACACAATGGTCGACAAGTGTCTGCACCATCGCTCCAAGGGCTTGTCTTGCCACGATATGGGCAGCCCTGTTATACCTACGGGGATCGAAATGGAACGTTGCACGAAGGAAAGAAGCCCGCAACACCTGAATCTCTTGCAGGAGAGCTCCGCCCACCGCGTGCGCCGAGTCCTTCGCGTTGATCATCCGAACGATCACCTGCGCATCCCCACAAAACAAAACATTAGTGATCGAGTGAGCCATGCACCAACGTAAGGAGTCGCGAAGGGCCAGGAGCTCTGCGAGAAATGGGTCATCAATATTAGGAATAAAACGCCCCCAAGCAAAAATAGAGTTATTAGCCCCTGCAAAGCCAACAAAACCAATGGCACATCCGACCAAAGATTTGGTGGCACCATCAAAGTGAACCAACACTGAACCGGGAGGTATGGAAGGAGGGGAGTGAACTCCAAAAGGCTCTTTTGCAACTTGAATTTGCAACATGTAAAGTCAACACTAATTTCATATAGGAACGCTGGAATTGGAAATGATAAGGGTGGCACGAGGCGTGGACGTGGAAGTTTGAATGGCAATTGGGTCTACCTTTGTTTGTGACCAACTTTTTCACCATATCTTGAGCATTTAATAAAATCTCAATTAGTTTCTCATTTACCATAATGAGAAAGGTCGATCCCCAAAACAAGTTGAGTAACTTATCATTGGGCATTTGGGCTAAGGGTAATAGATGAAATACTTTCGTGGACAATCGTGTTGGTGGTGTGCCCTCCTTTATGAAATTTAGGGCTTTCTGCAATCTCTTCTATACATTTTTTTTTACGAAACAACAAGATGGTAATAAGATTACTCATTTAGTGACACGTAATAACTTGTAGACTTATAGCATCTTACAGTAATTCATAGTTTGGTGGATCTCAATCATGTTTTTCAAGTGTAGACTTATCTTGATTCTTGATTGCTTTTTAGGCTGTAAAAATAATTATAAAAAAATCAAAGAGAGAAATATGTTATGAGAGTTGGCGATTTTCTCTCACCTCTATATATACCATACAAACTCGTAAATTATTAAATTTTCAAAGTTTTCCTCTCTTCTTCTCATTTCTCTTTCTTTTCATTTTTTCCCCACTATTTCATCACGTCTCTCTTTCCATCGAAGGAGACGGAGAGAAAGAGAGAAATCTGTCAATTTTCTTTTCCATTTCAATTACTTCTTCACCTCAAGATTCAGATCTTAGACAAACTCGATCAAACCTTTTCACCACCACACAACTCTTAGACATAAAAAAAAATTACTTTTCTCTCGGTTGAAAAAAGAAAGACGAATTGAACAATCACAAGTATTGATAATGGCAACAGTGTCCCCTCTCGCCAAGTACAAACTTGTCTTCTTAGGAGATCAGTCTGTAGGAAAAACTAGCATCATTACTCGCTTCATGTACGATAAATTCGACACCACATACCAGGTCTACCTTTATTATACCCTTTTTATTGTTCTTTCTTCATATTCTGAGTTATATATGTTTGTATATATTATGCCCTTGATCAGTCTATACATCATACATGTTATTTCCTTAGGAAGTTATATTTCAAAATTTTGTTTTGCTAGTTTGAATACTAATTTGTTGCTTGTTTCTCAGGCTACAATTGGAATCGATTTTTTGTCCAAGACAATGTATCTAGAAGATCGAACTGTTAGATTACAATTGTGGTAAGTTATGCCATGAGCAAGAGGAACGAGTCAGAGGCTAGATTGTAGACTTCTCTTATCTTTGGGGATTCTTGGAACATATTACTTAATCTAAATATGCCATGGGCAACAATTGCCCAAAGCATGAATGATGCAGTGGTGATTGTATATATGGTACTATAAAATTTTCACAATTTAGGTTGTGTAATTTCAAAATTTGCAGGAATAACATGTCGAGTTGATTCTCAAATATGTCTTTATGACTAATAATAATTTTTTAGTTTCCAATGTTTTTGTTTTTCTACGCATGGTTAATATTTGAAATTGTTTATTTGTCTTTTTACAGGGATACGGCTGGACAAGAGAGATTTAGAAGTCTTATTCCTAGCTATATTCGAGATTCTTCTGTGGCTGTCGTGGTATATGATGTAGCCAGTGAGTTAACTTAACCTTTATTGCACATTCCCATACTGAAATGCATGATCATACTATATCATTGCCCAAATAAGTGAAATAGTCCAACAACTATCAACTATGAACCATAAAGTAAGTAGTGATGGCAATTTCTGAATTGATTTGCGTGTCCTGACCTGTTTCGATATGTTTGGGTGGGTATTATCCAACCTGCAGTAATCATAACCCTTACTACTTATGTTCTCTAACTTGAGAAGTAAAAATCAACCATGTTCATCAAATACTCTTACCAATCAAAGTATAAATATTGTTCAATTGATTTACGGGTGGAGAAAGGTCTAAATGTTCCTTTATATAAAAGCACCCTTCTAAAAGACATGTTAACTTCATTCCTACTAGGGAAATTAGCTAGGGACATAAAAGTGGTAGATTAAAACTTAGTGTTCGATACATATAATGTTCGTGGTTATGGTAAATGTCTTTCTTGATGTAATGTTTCAGATAGACAGTCATTCTTAAATACTTCTAAGTGGATTGAAGAGGTACGAACAGAACGTGGAAGCGATGTCATAATAGTGCTTGTCGGCAACAAAACCGATCTTGTTGAAAAAAGGTAGGAGAAGTGTTGAAACAATAAACAAGCTGAACATCACATCAAATTTTTATCTCGTTAACAATATTTCTTTTGTGGGATTAAAATTCACCAACCAGGCAAGTGTCCATAGAGGAAGGAGATGGCAAGGCTAAAGACTTTGGAGTTATGTTTATCGAAACTAGTGCCAAAGCGGGTTTCAATATTAAAGTAAGGAATCGCACTCTTGTTTCACTCGTGTGTGTATGCTCTCTTTTGCTTATGATTAAAAGAAGTATAAGGTAGAAGTATTTGAAATCAATGTGAAATGGAATGATGATAAAAATCTGATTTTAGTTTTGTGTTGAATTAATAAAATCTCATCTCAGATATGTGTGTCAAATATTACTTTGAAACTCAACTCGATTCTTAAATGTGACATTTTCGACATGAGTTGCCTCTAATGTCTAACCTAACTTTATATCAGAACTCATTTTCATAATTCTTCTAGTTCTAGACAGTTTGTTAGTTTTGGTGGCTTTGAATTCTTCATAATATGACGACTTCTTTTATATATGCGAATAACTTTGCAGCCACTTTTTCGCAAAATTGCTGCTGCACTACCAGGAATGGAAACTCTTTCTTCGACGAAACAGGAAGACATGGTTGATGTGAACCTCAAACCTACCGTGAATTCATCCCAAGCCGATCAACAGGGAGGAGGGTGTGCTTGTTAAACATATGTTATTTAGTAAATAGGGAAAAAAATTATATCAAAATAGATAAACCCATAAGAATTTTAAATTATAGAGTTAAAACTTAAATGCAAACTTATGACCTTTTAATTTTACCTTTTTCATTCTAGGAAACAAGCCACTCGTTGTAGGTTGGTTCCATCAAATTTTTGGAGGTTAACAAAAAAAATTGATCTTAGACATACAATCAATCGCTTTCTCTTACAATGATCACCTGCCAAACATTCAACATGATCCCACTATCAGTGACTTGGTCAGAATTCCATGTAGAGTGGCTCTGGTTTTTTAAAGAAAATAATTTATAAGGTAATTCATATTTTCCCTGAATTCCAATTGAGCCCCTGCGCTATAATCCACAAGTGTTACCGGCTGGTGGTGACCCACTGGTGGCGGAACTTATTTGTCAAGGGGAGGGACGCTGGTGTGATCAAAAGCTCTGTCAGTGGTTTGACCCTGAGACGTGCCGGGTTATAAAAGCCATCCCTCTCTCGCGGGTCAATGTGGAAGATAGGCTCATCTGGTTTGATACAGCGGATGGGATGTTCTCGGTGAAATCTGCTTATCATCTAGCGGTTTCTTTGGAGAAAAGGAGGGGTGGTTGAAAGGCAACGGTGGATTGGATGGATAGGGTAAGTTGGATACGGCTATGGGAGTCCAACATTCCGCCAAAGTTAAAAGTATTTGTTTGGCAGATTTTCAGTCGGATATTGCCTACCACTGAAGCTCTCATTAGTCGTCATATCCCGATCCTTCCTCAGTGCCCGGTCTGTTGGGAAGGCCCTGAAACCATGGAAAGACCACTGAAGCTCACCCCCATTCATCATAAATTGCGACACGTCGGGAAGGGGGAAGGCGTGCCACGGGAATGGATCACATCAGTAACCTTATGATGAGTAACCATGAGTAACTCGTCCACATCAGCATCCCTCTCTCTCCTGGAAAGCCTTTAATTTTCCTCTCTTTAATCTTTGACGGACGATTTATCACTCGTTTGAAGTCGAAATTTAATGTTTTTGGGACAGTTATATCAGATTAATTGTGCTCTTCAAAATGATATCCACTTTGATATATTTTTCGAACAAAAAGAATTGAGTCATTTTTTACCAGTCTATACCATATGGTATTGACTGATATTGAAATAAGAGCATACCTATGGTTTGAAAAGCGTACAATGGTGGTATGAACAAACCAAGACTGTAAGATGGCTGAATACATGATAGTAGAAGTATATTAACTGTCATTTATGTGTGGTATTTTTTGGTCCTGTAATTTGTTCACCCAGAAATTTGTAGATCCAATAGATCATGAAGAAGGTACCATATGGTATGCAGTTGGTACCGAGAGGCAAGAAATTTTTTTCTCAAAAAATATTGAAAATATATCTCATTTTGTAGAGCACAACGAACTCGTTTCATCTGTGCAAAAAAAAATTAAAATCTGAGTTAAAACGAAAAAGATATGAGCCGATTAAGAAAGCTAGGGAAAATAAAAATGGTCTTTTATTCTCTTCATCCTTAGATCTGGATTTTCTAAATAAAGGGTCCATGTTTAGTTATTAATGGATGAACCAATCCCTGTCGTGCATATTGCACACTGCCCTCGCTTGCTGCTGTCCCCACATGTTTACCATTGAAAAAGAAAGATCGAGTCCTCCAAGTTCTTCTCAACGACTCTTTCAGCTTCTAATAACCATTTTATCATTTTTCTCTGGCAAAATACACTTGTATAGCCAAAACTTTCACCTTTGTGCCACTTATAGCCACTTTTGGCGAAATACCACTAATAGCCACTTCTGTCTAATTCTTTGACGGTGTTAACCAAATGGCTGACTGGACTAACGGAGATGTTGACCTGGCTACAAATTGTCAGGTGAAGTGGAATTAACTAAAAAATTAATTCATTTAACAAAAAACCCCAACACCATACAACAACAAAAATCCCTAAAATCTCTTTCCTCCATCGCAGCTCTTCTCCAAAGCTTTCCCCTGTAAATCCATGGCGTCCGTACATATTTCCCATTCCCTACTCTACTTCCTCCTCCTCTCACTTAGCCTTGCATTTTCCCTGCAGCAAGCATCTAAGTCCAGAAAAGAGCAAGCATGATCAGGAGAAGACGGAAGAGGGGAGGAGGAGGAAGAGGATCATCATTGGCGGCGGCGGTCCCACAACTCGTTGCTTGGGCTGTTGGATCCACATCAGGCGTCTCCTAGAGAGGTTAAACCTCGATCTCCTTGCAAATTGATCCGAGTACGAGCTCTACTACGATTTATGCCCTTTCCTTGTCGAGCTTACCTTCCATCGACGGATGCTCGAATACACCTATTTGACCAAAGATTCCAAACAGGCCGCCTCCGTCTACCTCCCGTATTACGGCTTCCTCTCTCTCTCTCCTATTTCCCCTTCCGTTTCCCATACGGCTGCTCCTGCGGCCCTACATCTCCCTCAACTCCGCCGCCAGGAGCTCCCCGTCATCAGCATCCTCCACCTGCCTCAGATCTGGATTTATCCACAGTGATAGGGAGGATTTTTTAATTAGGGATTTTTTGTTCGATTGAGTTCGTAATTTGGGGATTTTTGAAGAAGAGGAGATGAAGTTGGGAAGAATAAGAAGAGAAGGGCAACAATCCATTTCCATCGGAGAAGTGGCGAAGATGTTGGACATGAGGAGATGAACCGGCACGGCGCCGAATTCGATGGCGGCCGACGATAGGTTTACCCGGAGAGGTGATGACATCGGAATCGGAGAAGCAGGCAAGAGGTTGAAGATCCGGAGGAGTGGTGGGGGGTTGCTAGTGGAGAAGAAGAGGGGTCTTGGAGAGTAGCAGCGGAGGTGGAGAGTTCTGGACGATTGCTCTTCAAATCCGCCGACGAAGAGCCAACGTCTTCTTGATTCTGGGTTTTGGCGTTCAGAAAATTCAAAGGGATCGGGGAATTAAGAGATTTTCATCTCTTTTTCTTTCCTTTTTTTTATAATTTAATGTAGTAATTAAATATTAAATAATTAAAATATCTTACATGTCACTATTTGCTTAGTTGTCGCTGACGTGGCTGATGATTTGGCGCCTCGTCAGCCGACCGTCAAATAAGTTGACGGAGTTATTAACACCGTCATAGTTTCTAACGGAAATGGCTATATTTGGCACGCAACATCTTTCAAAAGTGGCTATTAGTGGTATTTCGCCAAAAGTGGTATAAGTGGCACAAAGGTGAAACTTTTGGCTATACAAGTGTATTTTGCCTTTTTCTCTAAAAATACACCACATTCTTCACTTTTGCTCCACCACTTTCATTTTTTCTCTCCTCTTCTTTGCAAAGAAAATTCTTCTTCTTCCTATCAATAAAAGAATCTTCTTTCTAAAATCTTGATCATGTCCCAATTGCCAAGGGAATGGTAAAAGAGATGTAACGGCCATGGACTTGTAACAATTAAAAAAATCATTTAAGAGTAACTATAATGTAACAATTAAAATTAATGTAACAAGAGAATGGTAAAATAGATGTCTCAATTACGGGCATGGCTTCAATGTTGATTTGGAATAGGGTAGTTACTGAAATCTCTTATAGGGTGTTCAAATCAAGAATTTCAGTTTGAGTAATTTATGAGGAATTTGTACTCAAATTCTTCACTAAGAAACTCGGAAATTTTAAATGAGTTATTTGGGCTAATTAACTTGTTTATTTAGACATATGGAATTTGAACCCCAATTATGCAAAAATATATTTGCCCATCTTCTTCCTCCTCAGTCCTCACTCCTTTGGTCTCTTATTTCTCCAAGAAAAAACACAACACTAAATAATACAGACAAACAACAGCCGCATACCCGCGAGTCTTGGGCGTTCGGCCTCCTCGCTAATCTTCGACGACCTTGGCGACATAAGCTCCTCACAAGCCTCCGACGTCTCAAGAATCTCCAGAGAATGAACAGCAACCCAACATCGTTGCCTCACCTTCGAGCAATGTTATAGTAAAGGAAAACACATTCCACTGCCCAAAAATCGGAAGGAGAGATTTGTCTTAAATCCAATGCCCTATTCATCTCCCGCCATGAAATACTCACGAGTAGGGGTGGCTATTTGGTCCGGGGTTTTTGGTTTTACCCAAAATAGGACCGTATCACTCGGACTGGGACCGGATAGTAAACAATCCAATCTAATCTTTGGGTTTAGGTTTGAGGTAAGAAATCATTTGGGACCGGATCAAAACTCGGATAAATATCGGATAAGAGAGCCCTAACTTAACCAACTCCTCACCCTATCAGGCTTCAGGCCACTCAAAACCCCATAAGGTCAATCTAAAATCAAAATCGAATTGAGACCGGACCAGTTCAAGACCGAACCAAATCTAGACCGGACGGTATCCAATCCAATATTTGGTCCTTATGTTTCCGAAAAGACCAGACCAGGACCGAATCAATTCATGCCAATTTAACCGGACCGGACCATATAGCCACCCCTACTCAAGAGGACAGGAAAAATCAAGACACCGAGAAATATCTCGATTCGTCTACCTAGATTCCTCTAGCAAGCGATGACCTTCATGAAGCAGATGTTGCGGCGACGAGGATCTTGGACAGGCAGATGTTGTAAGGAAGTGGTTAAGTACCATACACGGGCCTGTATAAGATCCAGTATAACCCTCTCCCAACAACTCGAGTTATTGGGACCAACTGGTTCATGACATGGTATCAGAGCCTGGTTTGTCCTTGAGGTCACGTGTTCAAGTCCTCACGACCCCCAATATTAACTGTTGTCTTTCAAGCACATGGTATGGCGGGCCTGTGCAAACTTCAAGCCCATGAGTCGGCTTTCGTTTGAGGGGGCGTGTAAGGAACTGATTTGTTGATAGAATCGATTGTGTCTGTTGATTTGGAACTGAAGAGATAGTGGCTCTCTCGACGTACAAGGACGACACAGAGGAGGAACGGTTGTTACCTGGGACCGAATCCGGTTGTTACCTGGGAACGAATCCAGTTCACCTCTCCTTTGTCGCCGGCATTAGTTCTAGCAAGAGGGGCCATGAGCTGAGCAACTGTTTCGTTGGCGAAACTCGCGTGTTCAATGCGCACTGTATTCAAGTAAGCACAAACACAAAGTAAGCAAAATCGTCAAATATCCGCCGCCGAATGTCGGCGCCGTTGATTTGATCGATTACACAGAAATCAAGACGACCGTCAAATATCCACCGCCGCCGTCGGTGATGTTGATTTGATCGATGCACCTTTGACCTCTAACTAGAACAACCGTTACTCGGTTCACCACCTCTCCAAACTACGTTCGAACGAGGGTGTTCAACGAGAAACGAGAAACCAAACCGAGAGTGTTCT